TTTTTTGCTGCGGCACCCGGGGAGCAGTTGGGGGTTCGGTGCCTTGCTCAAGGGGACCTCAGTCGTGGTATTGAAGGTGGGAGAGAGCGCTGGACATTCACTCCCCCCACCTACAATCCCTGCCGGTATGAGACTCGAACGCGCAACCTTTGGGTTACGAGTCCGACTCTCTAACCATTAGGCCACGACTTCCCCCAAATTTTATATTTTGCAATATATGGGTGTTTTTGCTAAATTGACGCGTTTCCATTAGGCGTATTTTCAATTCGCAATTTAAATTTGCTTAATTTGAAGAGTAATGAAAGCGTGCCTACTGATAAACCATTTTGGGGAATGAGCTTGTTCTAACATCTGTCTTGGAGGGGAATCACGGTCAGGCCCATTGGCTGTGTCCAAAACCGCATACTCTCTGAATAGGTACTTAACGGGTGCTAAAATAGTACGTACTCTATAGCCTGAATGTGTGAAGTATGAATGCAGACATATTTATTTTATGTGCATAAACATTCATCCACAGGCAAAAGTTGCTTAAATCTCATTCAACTCTCATTTCATCCCTCAGCATTATAAATAACTAAAAAAGGCATGTTTACACCTGTTTTACATTGTATTAAATAAAAATTATCACTACAGTCTTGCTTTTTAGCTTTTATATGTCAGTATATGTCATGGCATAAGTTCAATTTTTTCACATCGAGCCAGCACTTCGAACCGTACCATAAGTATTAAAATAACCATGAAAATATCGAGCACTTGGAAAGGCACTTGATATCGAAAAAGTAGTTGTGTAAAATAAACTTTGACAAACAAGTACTACTTAAAAAAAATAGAAGATATATAAAACAAAGTCTGAAAGTTCCTCTGCTGCCGTCTGCTTTCTTCAGCTTCCGACTGCAGGAATGCCAACTCTTGCCTCCTCATCTGCCTGGCTCTAAAAATACACAGTGCATCTTGAAAAGCGGATGTTTTGGAAAGTGCTACGCCACGTTTTTGTGCCATCTAGTGGTTTAGATGAAAATAATATCAAAGGCGCCTTTTACCCCGGGGCGCCTTTAGCCCCCTTGTACCCTATATATATAAAGCTTTAAATAGGATTTTTATACCATATCAAAATTCTTGATGCACTGAAATTTCATAATTTTTGTTACCAATTTCAATATCACAAAAAAACAATACTAGCCTAAGAAAAAATAAGCTTACTGAAGACAAGTAAACACAAATTAAGCTACAACAGAACAAAGATCATAAGAAATCGGCCTACTAGAAAAACTTAAAGCACTGAATAATATTATGATGTATAAAGAAAATTGACAAATAGACTGAATGGTCTCTATATTAGGCTGCTTTAGAGGAATAGTTCACCCAAAAATGAAAATTGTGTTGTTATTCTAAACCTGTATGAGATTCATTCTGCTGTTGAATGCAAAATAATATATTTGGAACAATACTGGTAATCAGACAGTTGCTGGGGCCCCATGACGTCCCTATATGAAAAAAATACACTATTGGAGGCAATGGGGACCAGAAACTGGTTGCAATCATTTTTCAAAATATCTTCTTTTATGTTGAGAACAAAGAAATTCATAGAGGTTTAGAACAATTTGAGTTAAAAAGTATATGATGACAGTAGGCTATCTTCATTTCTGAAAATTGTGTTGTTATTCTAAACCTGTATGAGATTCATTCTGCTGTTGAATGCAAAATAATATATTTGGAACAATACTGGTAATCAGACAGTTGCTGGGGCCCCATGACGTCCCTATATGAAAAAAATACACTATTGGAGGCAATGGGGACCAGAAACTGGTTGCAATCATTTTTCAAAATATCTTCTTTTATGTTGAGGAGAACAAAGAAATTCATAGAGGTTTAGAACAATTTGAGTTTAAGTATATGATGATAGGCTATCTTCATTTTTGGGTGAACTATCCTTTTAAGATCTCATCATAGAGGCTAATCCAGGATCTCGTATAGCCTAACACTACGCATGCTTTATCTTTAACTGTTAACGTTAATTTAGGACACAAATAACAGTGTTTACGAGGATACTCACAAATTTTTTACATATAACTGTGTATTTGAACGTTTAAGCACAAGGAGCGAAAAGTTTAGTCAGTGGCAATACGAGCAGGTGCGCGCTGCGCGAATCAGGCTGAAACCGTCTTAATGCACGCATTTACCAGAATGAATTCTGCCCCACTGCTTAATGTTCATTAACAGTTGAAAACATTTGTTTTAAAACCTGCTTAAAACGCGTTTAAATGATAAGCTTAGCCTACATCTTGACGAGCAAAACGATTAATACATTTCTACCGGATTATCTCCCAATCCTTAAATGAATATATAAATGATTGATATATTTCTACCGGATTATCTCCCAACCCTTAAATGAATCTGGAGTTTGTTCAAACACAAAAACAATATACATCCAGTTAATAATCAAACTAACCTAAAATCTGTGTAGACGATGACGCTGTTTTTTTTTTCCAGGTGCCTGGTTCACTTGCTGTTCCAACAACAGTTGACGTTACTTCTGCTCCATCATCAGCTTTAGTAAAATAACCTGATAGCTGGGGAGTTTACTGATTAACTTATGTTGTTTTTTTCTGTTGTTTGTATTTGAAGTTTTTCATTTTTTGAGCCCTTCTCTCTCAGAATTGCGGACATTTTTACTTATAGAATATTGTTATTTGCGCGAACATTTCCAGATTACTCCAGAACAAAGTGAAGAGTGGAGGTGAATGCAGACATAGGCTACTGGGCAGCGATCACCTGATAGATACGTGCATATATCATTCAAATGTCAAAACTCACAATTAAGGCAGATGTATACACAACTCACATTTGAATTTTGTTTGCACTCCTCGGCATGTAATGCCGACATTTGCAGTGGCATGGTAGTGTTACAGGTGACACAG